CAAGTCACTGAAAAAGAAATTTGCAATTTGGAAAGTGGTAACTCTGTTTGCCACTACCCAAAGACGACAAGGGGATGAATTACTGTCACATCGCCTAAGGCAGTGCGAACACTTCCAATTGCAGCCTGATCTCAGAAATCCGCTGAACACTTTTGTATGAAGCTCTTAAGGCTAGTTAGTCCCGTGGCATTGCGCAGGCCTCTGCATTCCGAATCATGGAAGACAACTGACTGTCAAACGCATTTTTTGCTATGCGCAAAACAGAAAATGATGCATCTCGTGCACTTGTCACATTTTGTGTACTCTTGCACTAGTAGCGAGTGCTCTTCTCGGAAATGTGCGTCTTATGGTGGCCACTTCCTTGATTTCCTCATTCGTGTTCGGCTTCTCAGCTGTGGACTTGGAAGGCAGGTTTGTATGCGGCCCTACACGCCAAATGGGGCAACGGATTTTGCTCAACGAATGGAGCTAGCATTTGTGTAGGAGAAGAAGAAGAAGAAGAAGGAGAAGGAGAAGGAGAAGGAGGAGGAGGAGGAGGAGGAGGAGGAGGAGGAGGAGGAAGAGGAGGAGGAGAGAGGAGTTCTCCTCCAAAGTTCTCTGATGGTGCAGACGTAAGCACTGGACTTTTGAACTCTTCGTCTTGCTTCCTCAAAGTGTAGTGCAGCATCATTTGTATTCCACCGACTCGAATTTCTCACCGTGAAATGCCGTTGGTGATAGCATAACCAGGGATCATTGCACCTCAGTATCACCTCAAATGCAATGACTCGAAATAACTGCGCTTTGCAGAAGGAGCAGGAGGTAGTGACATTTAATTGTTTGCTGTGTGCACCGCAAATCTCATGGCAAGTGATGCTATTCTCGTGAGGGTAGTATCACAGCGGTGTCCTGGGTGGAAACCTTACCGCCGTGTAGGAAAGATTGTTCCCAGCAAAAAAGTGGCATCTGTACGCTTTAAGGTGGGTTCCAAATGTTGAAGCTTGGTCCACCAGTTGGAAGACAGACATAGTTTAGGTCAAGGTTGGACAATAAAAGCAGATTTCACCCAACTTGGCACTGGTTAGTGCGAACGTAGCTTTGGTGAACAAGTTATTGGCCAGATGGGGCCGATTAAACGTTCTCCTCTTTACTACCTCAAAGTGCTAATGATGGCTTCGATAAAGTCAGTTGGTGTGCCGAAAAGCTTCCTTGTTGAATGTAGAATGCAAAAGTCTGTGCACAGTTGATGTTGAAACTGCCTTGAAGCATGGCACTTGCAAAATGATTGGTGTGGTTTGTTTTAAATGAACTGCTTTCCACTTGATGTGTGAAGTCTGAGGCGGAAAATAAGGTTCCCATTTACTGGGTCCACTTTTGGAGCGCCTATTGGTAAAGCACGACAACTCAGCAATTCAAACAACTTTACTTATAGCTCAGTCTTCTTCAAAACAAATTTATGTGCAAAAATTGGCCAACAGTAGGCAACAATTCCTCCATATTAATGCGAACAACTTGATGCCGTCTGGTGGTATTTCCGATGTTAATTAATTGCAGATGTTGGAGGAAGTGAGGTGAGAATCAGCACATTGCACTCTTTGTCAACCATAGGATGGAAGAGGTGCCAAGAGATCTTAACACCACCAACGCGAGAGCGAAGAATGACAAGACTTTGTGGTGGTTACTTTGTTGGGTGATTTAACTCCCAGCAAAATGACATTCGAATGGCAGTCGTTTGTAGCATCAATCAGACTCAACAGATAGTTGGAAATTTTCTAGATCACTTCAGCACTGCCTTTCAGAAGGTCGTCCTTTTCAGGAAGGTAGCGCAAGAGATGTCCTCACTGCAGCTTAAATACAAAATATGCTTGCAACAGCATTAGCCTTCAAACGAAGCTTTCTGTGACAGTGGACATGTTTCTAGCACCCTTGGATATTTCTTCGAATGCAAGCATTTGGGGAGTTGACACTACTCGCACCCGTGCAAGTGATGCACCTTTTCTGGTATGTACTGCCTCTCTTCCTCGTTGCATTTGCCTTCGTTAACACAGCATTTGAGTGATGAGTTCACATAGCCGTTTGGAGAGACTTTCCCCACTTTCCTACATGTTCTTTTTGCAGGTGTAGTGTTACCAAGAAGGTTTGTTTGGCTTACGGTACAGCTTCGTGCAACAAATTGTAGCAACACGTAGGGGCTTGCAGAACGTGGTCGGTTGTATGCACGCAGTGCAAAACCTGGATATGTGGCGTTGTATCGGTACGCCTTGCCGTACACCGCACTACTTTCCTCTCATCTTAAAGCCTCGTGCGTCGAATGCCAGTTCATTCAGACAGATATGCTTCGAGCTTATCCATCCCACCAAGTAAGTCCAACTCGACTGCAAAGCTGAAGTCGTGTTGCACGACATTTGGAGGAGGTGTAGTAGCAGAATGAATCGCCCAAAAGAAGTGTGAGAAATGGAAATGTGGTGGTGAATCACCAGATGATAGTGCACCACAGTAAGGTGAGAGGACTCTGTTTTTTCAGATCGAAATGGAGAATTGCTTGTCACTATTGAAAACATCATTGGGAATTGTTGTGTCGCGCACCCTCAGTGCTGCTTATCGTGGGTGGAGAAACGATTGGTTAGCATTCACATCAAGTAAAATGTCGCAGAAGCCGAACAAGTGGGTCTCATATGCATTAGCAAGGGCCAATGTGTCGTAAAGACGACCCATTCCTCCCTACTCCACCAATTCACACACACTATAAAAACGTGTAGTGCACTATGCATTGTTTGATATCTGATTGTCTTGTGGTGAGCAATGGCTTTTGCATTCCATCTTACATAAGGCGAATGAACACCTCCTTGTTATGTGCAAGCAACGATTCACTCACTATCCCATTCCACACATCTAAGGCACACAGCTCTTCGTCCCTAGAAGAATGTGCCTGCTTTGTGTGCAATCAGAATGGTTCACTTGCTGTGTAGGTCCAACCATCACTGCTGCCATTCATCCACTCAATGCGATACAGCTGAAACAATTGCACAAAATACTTCCGCCTTCTCCCTCTCCTACTATTTTACCATCCTCCTCCTCTTCTGTTTGCTCTTATTCCTCGGCAATAGTCAGGACTAGTTAATCATTCGGTAGATAATTCTTTTCCCCTGCACTTTGGTTAGGATGGAAGTGAGGCACTGCCCAGTCCTCATCCTCGTCCTCCGTATTGCCCTGATATTTTTCCAAGTGATGATCATTGCCTTTCTTGGGCGTTGCATAGTCACATGATTGCATACAAAGGGTGGTTGAATGATAAAGCTGG